CATCACTATAAATAATGTATACTCCCGCCGCCCCCGCCCCGCGTGCGCGACCGTCACTACTATCGCCCCCCTGGGATCACAGTGATGATAATAATAATAATAATTTGTCAGTCGCCCTCCCCGCGCAATAAAGCTGTTAAGCGGCGAGTGGATTAGCCGGGGTTTCGAACCCTCCCGCGACACGCTGCTCACGCACACCCGGTTAAACAAGTCGCGGGGGGCATAAATCTCCATTGGAATGTTATTGTGACACTTGCTTTCTCTCTATCCCTCTCGCTCCCCCATCTTTTCCTCGTGCCCTCTTTTACCAATTCACGGCTTCCTCATTGGCGTTCATTTGAATATTGAATTTCCAAATCATAGTGGTAATGTGTGTGTCTCTCGTCTTCTTATTTGAATATTGAATTTCCAAATCACAGTGGTAATGTGTGTGTCTTCTCTGATGAAGCTCGTCTTCTTCTTCTTCCCTGCAGCAAAAGTACGTGCGGCTGACGGCGGGCACGGAGCCCATCCAGAGCTCGCTGCACCGCCACCTCGTGGAGTACCTCAACGCCGAGGTGGTGCTGGGCACGGTGAGGGACATCCCCGGCGCCGTGGACTGGATGCGCTCCACCTTCCTGTTCGTGCGTGCCAACAGGCACCCCAAGCAGTACGGGCTGTCGGACCTGTGCGCGGGCAGCGCCGTCAAGATCAACGCCAAGCTGCAGGGTGAGTAGAGCAGGAGGAGTCAGCGGCGAGGACAGGTAGGTTGAGGAGACAAAAGCTACACGATCGCGACCAACGTTTTCGGGGTCCGGGGGTTATTTTTAGACAGTCCCCAAGACTGTCTCTGCCAAGAGGCAGTTTTGTTTTGCTCTCAATCTTTTGTTATTTACAGTACTTCGGCCAGGACAAGTATAGAGGCGACAAAGCCACACTAACGCGACCAACTACGTTTTCTGGGTCTGAGGGGCTATTTTTAAACAGTTCCCAAAGACTGTCTCTACCAGAAAGCATTTGTTTCCCTTCATTCTTTTGTCGCGCACAGTACTTCCTTCGCCTGGCGCGGCCGTATCGCGCGGCGCGAAGGCGGTGCCAAAGGGACGTGCCAGAGCCAGACAGGCCTGGCGGCGTGGCGTGGCGGCGGCACCCGGAGGTGGCTCCCCGTGAGGGAGCACCTGGATGTACCCGGTGGTTAGGCGACGCCGAGGCGACGCCAAAGCGACGCCGTACGTCAGGACCGCGATAAGGTGGTCGTGATCGGCGCCCGCTGCTCCCCTGCGCGGCGCGGCGGCGGGGCGCGGCGGGGGCCGCACGCACGAGCACAAGGACTCGCGCCTTATTTAAACGATTGGCTGGGCATTAGTGGCGTGGCGCGGCGCGAAGGCATCTTGGAGCGGCGGCGGCGGCGGGGAAGCAGGGGGAG